CTCCATAACTTCAAAGTGAGTCTTGGTTTGTATTTTCGGAAAAGAAGACGTTTATTTATGGCGAAGGCTCTTAACAAATCAAGAAAACAATAAGGCCCTGAATGTTTACTAGTTTTTAAGTGGTTTTTGGTTTTTAGATATTGGTTTTTGGATTTTGGTTTTTAAAATTTTGGTTTTTGGTTTTTTTGTTATAAATATAAAAATTAATTTTAAAAAATCAAAAAAATCAAAAAAAGAAACATGATTACGTTGAAAACTAAAATTTTCCCCAAAATCCTCAAAATTGTGGTTTTTAGTTTCTCTTTAAAATTTGGAGAAACCACTCAAAAACTAGTTTTCCTAAATTTTAGGGAATCTATTTTTTTTAAATCTTGAATGGAGAAAAAATAGATTTTTCCATAAACAAAAACCAAAAACTACTTAAAAACTAGTAATCATTCAAGGCCTAAACCAAGTATATATACACAAAGGATACTAGCAACACATCCTTAATCTATAAATTTTTGAGATGTTTTAAAATATGGTCAATATGATATTGGAAGATCGTCTTTAACGTACAATGTTGTTACCCTTACGAAATCATTTTTATAGAAATATAATTGCTGAACCACATGACCATTACACATATATATACACAAACACATTTCATATTTCTTGAATACCTCAATGGTGGCTTAATCATCTTACAAAATATAACATTCCAAAACAGAGTTAGATATAATACTAAAATCTGGTAAAACATTTTGTTTTTGAATGAATGTAAAATTTATTCAACCAAAAAAACTTTGGTACGTATACATCCATAAATCGATAATTATTTAGAAAAAAATGTAAAAAACCGTTTGAAAGAAAGTTAACCCTTTGAGCCGAACCAAATCTGTAATCCGTCTTCAAATTTGTGTTAAAATATATTTACCTAAACTATGATTTGTCACTCTAACCTCTAGTGATATATCCGCATGTTTATTCTCAAAACAGTATCAGTTAATTAGTGGGCACTAGTAAGTCTCAATCAGTAAGTTTTCTTAACGTCCAACTTTGCTACACAAATTGTTTCCTCCTCTCTGTCCTCACTTATTTGGTATTAGTTATCTAACTATGTTTAAACCAAAGTTATTTTTTCATTTGAGCAATCGCTACGATGAATTTAATGCATTTTAGTTTATAGATTAAAACCGTAAAAAAATATATGTCCAGCAACATACATGTTTATTTTATTTATTAACGTAATGCTAGTTACCAATAAAAGCTGATAAACATCTCCTGATTGATAGAAACCAATAGCTACAAGAGAGGAAACTAACGTATTTTCTAGTCCAAAGATTTGAAGTTCTAAAGATCCAAAACACAAAAAGCTTGGATTGGATTGAAATGTATGTGAAAGTAACATCGTAATCTTGAATCTGTTTGACATAAAACAATCTTATAATTAAAGATAATATATGCTCTTAGATCTTGTACCCTCAAGAATAGACACACTCTTAACATCTTGTCACTTTCTACCATTTATTTCCCTTAGTCAATGCATCTTTTTCATTTTATCGCACGTTCTTTCTCTATACATCTTCCGCAAAATAATTTTAATAACAAGAATAGAAACTTATACTAAAATTTAACTGGAACTCTTATAAAAGATTAATATATTAAAATACGTTATAAATACATTTTAAAATGAAATAATTTAAGTAAAAAAATTGTTTGTAGCAAATAGATACTAGAGCCTCATACATTAAAAACTAAAATTAATGAGAAAAATTAAAATAATGAATTGTATTAAATACAACATGTGAAGGGGGCAGAATCATTAAAAGTATGATTTTGGGTGGATAAGGCCAAATTATATAGGGTGGGTGGCTAGGGAGGCACATCCACAACCCTACACCAAAACTAAAGAAAGCTAACACAATTGATATTATTATTATTTTTGTAACTGTTTTAAATTGAAAAATAATATTTTTTTTTTTGAAAAAGTAAAAATAATATTGTTTCAGCATCAATCTCACAAGCTTTTAGTTTCAGAGTAAAACTTGAGGGTTTACCGGTCAGAGAATTTTTGTTTTTGTTGTTTTTTGTTTAACCTTTTGATATGGATTAGGGTCAGAGTTTAACAAACTTTGATCTCATGCAAAGGCCAACACATGCAAAAGTCATAAATAAATATAACCCATGATCTCATTATTTATTTCTACATAATTTTATCATACATTTGTACTTTTGTAGTAGTTCCAGTAGATGATCATATCATTTTTCTGAGAAATCAAGGATTGTAAAATCGTAAATAGGTAGGTTTTAAATTTTTTATACGACATGTAACTTAAAAAAAAAAAAGAAATTTACGGTAAACGCTGGTAGCCAAGTGCGGAGCGGATAACTGCTAGATCAGATTCAACTCCCAACCATCAATAAATTAGATTATTTGTTTATTTATATATATGTTCATAATATATTATTAGTATTAGTATTATTAAACGTTAAGCTGTTTGTAAGCTGTTTAGTTTAAAATAATTTTGAAATTAGGTAAAACTAACATTAGGTAAAATAAAAACTAAACGTTTTATACTAGCATTATACTAGCATTATTCTTTTTTAAACGTTTGTAAGCTGTTTTTATTAGTACTAGATCATCACCCGTACTAAAGTACGGGTTGAATTTTATTTATTACAAAATTTATATAATATATATATAAGAACTAAGTTTTAATATATTATAATAGTAAGTGAAAAAATATTAATTTTTTTTGTCAGTCCCTATATACAATATTAGAATAAATATAGAATTTTTTCTATAATACTCAATTATGGATAATTTTTTTTTTAAGATATGAAAACGGAAAATAATTTTATTTTTTAAAAAGTAATAATTTTTTAACAATGAGTTAATTTATGTTAACAACCACAAAATAGGATTGCATATATTTCAGTTAGATCAAAAATTCAAATATCATAAATGAATCGCATATAAAACATAGATTATTTTGAATTAATTTAGAAAACTCTTTTTCAATTTATAATTCTTTGGTTGTTGAAATAGTTTTTTGTTTGAGCTAATCTAATTACAGAATTTGTTTGAGATTTATAATTACGGAATTTACCAATTATTCGCATAATCGAATATGTTATAAACATATATTTAGTATATAATAATACCAAAATCAACCCGTGCGTGGAGTCTATATTTTTATTTTAGAATCTCAATATTTCATTTTAAAATATTGCGTGCACAATCTATTATTCGTTAATTCTAAAATTGCTTGCGGAATCAAATTTTCAAATATTTAGAGGTGTCAAACCATATTTAAATGTTCTACACTATTTTTAAATATTCCAAATTAAAATCTTTAAATTTTTTTGTAGTTTATAAAATTATAAATTTCAAAAAATAAATTATATGAAATTAAATATAACTATTCAAATAGTTATAAGGATCAAAACTCATTTCATCGTATAATATATTATATTTAACCCGCTACCTATTATAAATATTTTTAAAAATAATCAAATTAGAGTATTTATAATTTTTAACTTTTTGAACTATTAAATATTGATGATATTCTCTAAAAATATCAAGTAAAACTTATTTTAAATGTTGCAAATTAAAATATTTAAATTTTTATTGTAGTATATAAAATTATACATTTCAAAAAAATAAATATTCAAATTCTGACCCGTTGCTCAGTCGGAATTTTTGTTGACTTTATTTTTGTGTAAAAGAAATATATTACTCAACTCTGAATTTTTGACCCGTTTAATTGTTTCCTTTATAGATTGAACAATTTATATGCGTTTTTATAAATTCAAATTTTGGCATATGCAGAAAAAAATTACTTTTTTTTTTACTATGTAGATGATATGATTATTTATTTGTTTCATATTAATATAATCATATTAAGATGAGAGGTGAAGTTTAATGATTAATAACAAATTAATATGGTAAGTTACATATCAAATCTTATATGTTCATTTTGATTGGTCATTTAAAAAAAAATAATAACAGATTTTCGTTTTATAATTTAATTAATATAATTAAATGACATAAATTAGTATTTTACTTGTTTATCCTTAATAAATTGAATGAAATTTGTTCTAAAAGAAGATTTTTGTAATGGCATTCTTAAGTAAATTTTTACAAAAGGGAAGGTTAGTTAAGGGTATCTTATAAAGTGTACTCCCCAAATAATAGTATAGGATTATGTTATTTCACCTGATGACAACACACTGTATTACATAAAATAAAGGCATAACTTATAATATCCAGATTTTGTAAAATGTCATCTAAGTGTGATTTTCTTGAAAACAATAATGATGGTATACTCTGGATAATTTGAATTTTAGTAGGATCAATTGATTGATTTACCGAATGATAATTGTGGCTTCTGCACTTTGCCAAAAATTTGTTATAGGATCAATGAACTGCTATTTGTATCCTTTGCAACAAAAAATATGTAGTAACATGTAAAACAAGTCATTAAAAAATAAAATAAAATATATATATATATATATATATATATATAAATGTAAAACAAGCCATTTCCTTGTTGTAGTTATCTACATAACTGAGATGTAAGTTTGTCCCTTGTAGCACATTGTAACAATGAAGCCCCATCCTAGCATAAAGAAGACCAGCCACAACAAGGATCCCTATGTTCAAAGTCGAATGTTGCCAATCCATTAATACAGAACCCTTCATACTTCGACACTAGATGCCAATATCCATATACTTGACAACTAATATAGCTACTAACTACTAAGTCGATAATCTATATGGATGTTAGAACTTGCACTAGATATGTTTTGTATTTAGATTTAAAAAAAATTTCTTTTAAGAGAAAATGATAACTCAACATAAACAAGAATATATAAATTACCCAAAACTTCTTTATAGAAACTATCCAATGGGAAAAAGAACGGATTTTTTTTAAAATATTTATTTATTGAAGTTATTGTACAAAAAGGTTGAATTGATAACAAATTCAAGCTAAGAGAGAAAAAGAACAAATAGATGAAGGAATCAAAATTTATTAAATCTTTTGTTTCCCTCTTTAATTTCATCATTGAAGTAGGCATTGGGCTTGATAACCTTGCCTCTGAAATCGTTAATGGGCCATATCCGGGCTGGATATCGAGTACAAAGCCCAACACCATTAATTTCGTTCAACTGTACAGAGAAACTCCAGCCCTATCCAAGTTCTTGTGAATTGGATGAGTTGGGAAATTAGTTGCGACACTCTGTTGAACAAAGAAACATTAGACATAAGCAAAAGCATAAATAGTTTAACTTAAGACAATAGAAGAATTCAGTAATCTAATACTGGTGACATATAAATTCAAGAAAGCTATGCAAAAGCTAGACTATAATTGACAAGGAACCTATGCATGCTCATATTCAAGAAAAGAAAAAAAAAACTAGTTTCTAAATTCAGTAATCTAATAGTGTTGACATAACAATGATATTTACCCAAAATAAAACTGTTAGGCTCCAGACACGGTTCGGTCGGAATAGTAACAAAACTATATATGCACAATCTCAAATGTCTTTAGGTAATTCCACGTTATGACGACAAAGCGGACACGTGTTCCGATTACTCAACCAATTCGAGATACAATTTTTATGGTAATAATGCCGACAAGGAAGCTCAGAGAGTCTCTCATTAGCAGCGAACTCCTCTCTACATATAGCACAGACCACCAAACCTCTCTCCATCATTTCCTCAGCCGTAAACTCAACCACCGGAAGTTCCTCCGCCGCGTTAAGACGCCGAATCGATGATGAATTACCGAGAACTAAACCGAAGATTTCGTCGTACGATCCAAACGTGTTGACTCCATGATTGCTCCGTGAATCCAAGTAGTGGAGGTAACGGAGGTATTCGTCGTCGATGAAAGTAGTGTCTGCTTCGAAGTCTTCTTCGGTCGGAATTTGATCTGTTTCGGTGAGGTTTAAAGGAAGATGAAACTCCTCAGCCATTGATTTTTTTTTGGGGGAGATGATGAATTGATGATAGTACGAGAATGAGTGAAGATTGGGTTTTTGAGTATGAGTGAATATTTCGGCTCATATGATCCTTGCATGAGGACAAGATTTGAACACATGTCTTGCGAGTGTGTCTCTTTTGTGGCCACGTCATTGAACTATTATTACACCGACATATCAATAAAAGAAAGTTTGTGTGAGAAATTTTTATAACTTTAATAACCGGAAAACAAAAAATTAAAATTCCAACTAGTGTCAACGGAAAACAAAAATGGTACATGATTAATAGAGAATCATACTTTTTTAAAGTAAAAGAGAGTGATAAGAGATAGGGAAAATATATGGTTATTGCTCATTACAAATATGAAAAAAAAAACTTTTGAGATTAGATTAAAAAAAATATTATGAGTCTTTTTCATATCAAACGTAAGTTTCGAACAATCATGTTTTGGAACTGCTAATTTGTACCCGACTTGTTTATGCTATGAGACTGTTTTTTTTTTTTTTTATCAATGTAATGTTAAATTATATTTAAAAAAAGAATAACGTTTTCACAAGTGCAATAGTTTATCGGAAAAAATTTAGAAAACTACTTTCAAAATTTTAAAATGTTTATGAGAGTAAAAAAGATTCACGCTCGTGCATGGAACAAGACTTGAAAGGCCATGTCGTATCATCGATTTCCCAAACGTCGAATAGTAGTGAGTTGATTGCAAACCTGTTTGTCAATCCATCCTATCAGTTTTGTTGAAGTGTTTGGTGTTTGTCCATGTTGTCGCTCATTCTTCCCTCTCCAAACAGTATAGATAGTGGGTTGGAAGACATACCACAGTATAAACCCTTCTACACGGATTTGAGTTTGATCCGAGACGTGATCAATTATTTGGGACCAGTTCGACGTAAACTGTATCTTCCACAGACCCTTGGCAAGACCAGCCCAAATTTAAAATAGCATAATTATAGGAGAAAAACAAATGATCACGAATCTTTATGTTGTTCGTATAAAGAACACTGTTACCCGAGGCACTCCCATTCCACTTCATCATACGATCTCGGGTTGATAGCTTGTCTTGAACCACTAGCCACGTACAAAAGGAGTGTTTGCATAAGCAAACCATACTCCCTTGTGCCAAGAAATCTTGTGACACATAGTTCGAATATGGTTCTAAGTGTTCTTTGTTGAAAAATATAATATGAGACTTTCGGATTTTGAAGTTTCAATATTCTTCACGTATCTAAAAAACCATTGCGAGAATATAGATTACCTAGTGAAATAATCTAGATAACTACCTGCTGACGATTTTAAATGACAAAAGAGGACGTTTACACCGTTGATACAAACAACATTAAAAGATCAACTTTTACTTGTTTTTGCTTTAGAGACAGTTGAATCAAGAGGTGTGCCAAGGTAGCCGTTGCAATTTGATTCAAGACAAGTCTGGCCAAATGGATAGGGTAGAAATGAAAGGATTCATAGACTCATGACTAATTAATAGAATTTTCTATTTATACAAAGTCTACTTAAAATTTTAACTAGCTAAAAATAGACCAGAAGTTTAAATATTTTAGATTTATTTTTACAAATTTAAACTTTTTTTAAAATAGATCCAAATATTTTAAACTTCTACAGATTTTTAACTAGAAATTAGGCCCAAAATTTTTAAAAAGGAAAATTTAATTTATTTTTAAAACATATTTGAAATCCGAATATTTATCTTTCTACCTAAATGATCCTAAAAGGTCGTTTACCATAGCCCACAAATATAATGGGCCGGGACTGGTTCGAGGAGTTGTAACTGTCCAAACGAAGTCTATGTATTATACCATAATGAACAAGAAGAGCTTACCATTACCATGTCTTCTTGTTAGAAAAGGAAGTGCCAAAGTCCCCATAGTTTAAGAAGTTGCATCCCACATGGATGCTCAGGTAACAGCTAATTAATTGCATCACCAAATTGCATAAATAAAATTTTAACGTAATTATACACCTAGATGAATCTGGTCACGTTCAACCAAAAAGAAAAGAAAAAGAAACTAGTTGCAAAACCAAACTTTTAATGATTTTGTAATTTTGTTACTAATATGGATATGTCCTTTTGTGTGTATATATATAGGCATTAGGCAACGATTCAATATATGGGATTTTGCTTGTTGGATTTCCGTTTGTACTTCTTTGTGCTTGTGTTGTGTTGTAGTTTGTATCTCTCTATAAATTCTGTCAAATGTTTTGAAAATAATATAAATACTTAATCTTGTTACAAAAAAAAAAAAACGATCCAAAGGATTTTTTCTATCTAATCAATTCATTATGATTTTTAAATATACACGTAAGTCGATTATATATTACATCTTTACTCAATTGCGTAAATGAGTGACTTCCTCTTCTTAATATTTTATTCAAGAGCTAAGTGTGTAAACTTGACCAGGCTATATACTCAAATACATGCACTAAAATACACTAAGGTAAGTAATATAATATGTTTGTATTTTTCTTTGATTATGACCGTATGATGTATGTACTTAATGATAAGATGAAAGACAGTGTGTTTGAAATATTGGGGATTTCAGTTACATATAATCAACTTCTGAATAAATAATATTTAGTATTTAATAAAAAAAATTGATTAGATTGAAATATCAAAATCTAATACCTTTTCTTCTGTTTTTTCACTTGTTTGACCCCCCAAAAAAAGATAAGAGTAAATTGCAATATTTGAATCTCTGTAAAACATATTATTTTTGTTAAAAAGTAAATTGTATTGCAATGAAAATTGTGAATAGTAGTAAGAAATTCGCAGAATAAACGTTGATCTTCGACTTTAATGACCAAGAGAAGACTATAAATAATAACCACATTATTTAACTTGTGTTTTTTTTTTGGCTTAAGAATAATTCACATATCTTCAACCTAAAACAAATATGTTACGTTCTTTACTGATTAAAATCACTCGAACTTATTTCTTGTTATTACATGTTACATAAATGGCATGAATTTCCATTTGCTCTTGTAAATGGTTTTGGATCTTATAATGTAAGTAACCATTGTATGGAAATATTTACTGACTAACTCGAATGATTATGAAGCAAAGATTGACTACGGTTTAACAAAAAAAAAAAAAACATTTCATGGAAATAAAGAAAAATACAACCATTTTAAAATTATTTGTTAATAATACATTTGAATAGTCGAATTTACATTTTAAATTATGGACGTGGAAACCCGTTCAAGTAAATATGTTGCTATGAAATATGAATACATGATGCAATGCAACTCAAGACCTACACATTAATACTTTCTTAATATATTAATACATGGCTCTGATTTGTCTTACTGTCTATATATATCTGACTGGATATACGATTAAATTATGGCCATGAGGATGACTCATGATGATTAATGTACTTTAACATAATTTAATACATATTGACGCTTTGATTACCACTTAGAGCCAAAACTTGGTAATTATATAGTGACTATAATATAGACATATAGTAGATGAATAATTATCATCCAAGGCCTTGTTAGTATATTTATAATCAGGGGTGAGGCCATAATTTATTAGGAATTAGTTTCTATCAGACTTCCTGTCCACATATTATTTTGAAATAATGAATTAAGTTGCCTTTTGATTACTTCTAATGTTCTGCAACTAATTTTATATATTTCTTGATTGATTATAAATTAAAATACTACATAAACGAGTTGAGAGTACAATTTGATTTTATAGGAATATTATTTTTAAGAGCTATTAGATCTCATCATGTATGTTCTGTAAAATATCATAGGTTAGGGAATTTATGTACCATGGAACATTTTTATAGAACGTACAAGACTAAGAAAAAACAAGGAAATTTAGGATCTCAATATGGTGATAGATGTATGTGGTTTAGTATGGAATTTGACAAAAATTATTCGTGATTATTGATGGAATAACTAAAGATTTAAATGATAAAAATTGTCGTTTATCGCTTTATTTATTATTTTTTTTCTTTTGAATGTAATGTTAAATTAAATTCAAGAAAAAAATAACGTTTTCTAGTACATTGTTATACTTCTAATGCTGAGAAATTGAAAACTTCGAATACAAGAGTTTGGCCTTAGAGTCTAGATGCAAACCAAGCTTGTAAGCCTGAGTTGTATATGTGATCTCCCGCAGCCCGTATCGCGGATAGTTTGTTTCGAACCTGCTTGTCAATCCATATGGCTAGTTGGGTTGCTGATGTCTGATTCTCGCCGTGTCTCCTCCCGTTTCGCTCTCTCCATATCGAGTGGACTGCTATCTGAAAACTGCAGCGTACCAGGAAGGTGTTGATTTTGTCCAACGAAGTGTTTGTTATGCAGGTGACTACTTCCCGCCAGTCCGTAGAGAAGTGGCTATGAAGTAGACGCTGCACTAACTTGTTCCAAATTTCTGACGAGTAGCTACATTTGAAGAACAGGTTGTCCCTTGTCTTCAAATGAGAGTTACATAAAACACAAGTTGACATTGAGTTTGTGTTCCAGTTCTGCATTCGATCTCCTGTGGATAAACGATTCTTCATAGCAAGCCATGTGCAAAAGGAGTATTTTGGTGTCTCATGTGTGAACCACACTCCTTTATACCAAGTTACCTTATTTGATATCTTCCGAATCAGATTCCACGTGTCCTTAGTGGAGAAAGAGTCTTTGTAGGAGTTACCTTTGCCTTTCCACATAAATATGTCCTCTGCATTCATGTTTCTGCCTTGCCTTTTTGTCTCCAAAGCGTTTTCAATCAGATTCAGGTTTTTAATACGGTGTCTCCGTCTTCTTCTAGTTCTCCAAGCCTCAGCCAGGGAAGCGTTCTTTTTTACACCCATGTCAATGATTCCTCTTGGACCTGTCATATCCATCAAACACCCAAGATTAGACCAGTTATCATACCAGAATGAGATCAAGGATCCATTACGAACCTCGCATTTGCAAAACGTTTTTGCCAAGTCCCTGTATTTCAAGAGTTTGCGCCAGATCCACGACCCTGCGCTTGTGTTTTCTCGGATAGACCTGAAT